GCTAATGGCATAGATCCTACAGTTTTCAGGAGTGGCCTCACTCTTATGCCCTACTCAGTTAGCTATTGTTTGCTCTTCATGAAGCCATAACTTTCCAAAATTATTTGTACAACGAAGGGAAAGAAAGAAAAATGAAGAAAAGCATAGGGACATGAGATGAGGCTCTAACCTCTTCATCTCTTCAAGATTTTCCCGCTTTTGTTCATTTAGATGTTCATCTGCAGTCAGGAGACCTAGATTCTAGGCCTGGCCTCACCACTTACAAGCATATGACCATGAGCAAGCTCTTCCCTTCCCCTCCCAAGGCCTCTGTTTCCACATCTGTAAAATAGAAATAATTATATCTTCCCTGCCTGCTCCCAGGGCTGTCGCAGGGATTTCAGCAGAGAATGGCAATAGAATGTGAAGGCACTTTCTGCATGTAGACAGTCTCCATATTCCTGCATCTTGGGGGCTGGGATGATAAGGGCTCTCGGGCAGCTCCCCTTCTAATGTCCAGATCCTTGGACCTGACCTTCAGCAATCCCCACAGTCACCTGCTTTGTGCAGAAGCCTGTAATGATCTCAAAGTGTCCTCACATTCCTGAGACGGCTGATAATAATCGCTCAGATTAATTCTATTTAGTATTTGCCAAACACCATGTCGAGTATTTTCTATTCTCTATCTTGAATCATTAAAGTAATTATGGATGGTAAGTATTATTTTTTTTACTAATCGAACACATTATTTTTGTTTTTGTAAATCACACCCTTAAGTATAAAACTGATGGGTTGATATTGGTCTTATACCAAAGGAAATCAGATAATCAACACCAGTTCAGAAAACAGAGCACAAGAGTAGGTGAAGTATAAAGTTCAATGGGGGGAAGCATGCTCTTAATAACAAGATGGGAAGTCATCCTTTTACAGATGTTAGGGAAATGAAGGCATTATTGCCACATCTTATTTTATTTATTTTCTTTTTTTGTATTGATTTCAGAGAGGAAGGGAGAGATAGAAACATCAATAATGAGAGAAAATCATTGATTGACTGCCTCCTGTGTGCCCCCTACTCACTCCTCACCACCCCCTCCCCCCCACATACACACACTGAAGATTGAGCCTGCAACCTGGGAGTGTGCCCTTGACTGAAATTGAACCCAGGACCCTTCAGTCTATAGGCTAATGCTCTATCCACTGAGCCAAACAGGTTAGGGCATTGCCCCCATTTTATAATTCAGCAAACTGAGGCTCAGAAAGGTGAGGTAACTTACTCAAACCCACATGAATGAATGATGTAAAACTAGAACTCGAGGCAAAAATCTCATTAGATCCGAAGTCCATTTTTCAACCACATTATACTGCTTGCTCTAGAATCCCTGTCTGCTCTTAGCCTCATCAAACCACATCCTTCCTCCCTACAGCCAAAAGGCTGATAAAAGTTTTGGGTCATGCATAAAAGCAAAAATAACACTCAGGGTATTATTACCCAGTCTCCCTTGAAATTAAGTGTTTGGAGGGGAAGTTAGGGTGGGGATATAGGTCTGTTGGTGCGGTAAGAGATGAGACTCAGACAAAGAGAGAAGTATTGAACGAGTCAACAAGAACACTCCTAGGAAAAGTGTATTGCTACTGCAACATTCCAGGCACAGCTCCCTGTTAATTAACCCAATAAACATTACCAAGTGCCTAATATATGCTGGTGCTGGGGCTACCACACTCAGATGTGGTTACTGCCCTTGATAGACTCTTGACAAGTTCAAGTTTATGGAATGTTTTCATCAGATATTTAAAAATGGAATAATAAAAATAAAGCTAAGAGGGATATTTTGCTCACCTAGGCAGGGCCCAGATAAAGGGAGAGGGAGAATCCGAGCTGGGGCTATGCATACTTAATAAACTCATCCTGATGTTTATGTGAGTGTTGGGGAAAGCCTGGCAAAACCACAGAATTTAAGAAAAGTGGTGGGGTAGGGTAGTCATCTTTGGTTCACTCCATCTTCCATGGAGGATATTGAGGACAAGATCCTTTATCCGTTTTCTCCCAATCCTGAATATGAATAGAAAAAGGCAGAGCTCTGGAGGACTCAGAGCACTAGCCTGAGCCATTTGGGGTTATCCTTGCTAAGGAATCGGAGACAATATTGTGTCTAGTCCTCAGTCCTGAAAACCCTTCCCAGCAGCTTTCCTCTTGTGAGCCTGGGACCCAGTGGAATATCAAGCAGGTAGCTTTACCAGCTATAGTGGATTGTGGCTATCTAGTCAGTAACTGCAAAAGTGAGAAAATAACATAAAATTTTTTAAAAACTAAACAAAACATTTTTATTGATTTCAGAGAGAGAAAAGGATAGAGTTATAGAAATACTAGTGATGAGAGAAAATCTTTGATTGCCTACCTCCTGCATGTCCCCAATTGGGGATGGAGCCCACAACCCTGGCACATACCTTCATTGGACTCAAACTGTGATCTCCTGGTTTATGAGCCACACCAGTAAGGCAGCCCAGATGTTTTAAAAAATAAAAATGAAGCCTAACATTTCTACAGTTTAAAAATCTTTGGTATCTACTATCTCATGTATTCAGATTTGATTCTCAGAAAGACCTATGACATAGACAGATGCTATTATTTCAATTTTAGATGGGAAGGCAGACGTGCAGATGAGTGAGTGTTGCCATTCTGGTATGTGGCAGGAATTAGGAAAGCACAGAGAAGGAGCACTTCCCTGACTGCAATAGGGACATACTAGGGCAGGCTTTCAGGAGGTGACCCCAAGGGCTGAATAGAATAACACATTTATGCAATAAATAGATAATGAAGGGAAGAGTCAAGTGGGTGGCTTTCCAAAGGCTCAAAAACATGAGGAAGACCGGAGAAAGATGAAGATGGTGATGATGGTGATGGTGGTACCCGTGACCCCAGCTAACTCTTATCTATGCTTATTAACAGCAGAAACTGCTAGAACAGGTACTGTTCTAAGCAGGCACCTAGGTTAACATTCACACCTCCCTTATTAAGTAGATACTTTTATTATCCCCAGGAGTGGCCCGGTGCACGAAATTTGTACAGGGGGAAAAGGGGGGCGGATGGAGGGGTAATCCCTCAGCCCGGCCTGCACCCTCTCCAATCTGGGACCCCTTGGGGAATGTCTGACTGCCAGTTTAGGCCCAGTCCCTGTGGACATCCCTCTTGCAATCTGGGACTGCTGGCTCCTAACCACTCACTTGCCTGTCTGCCTGATTGCCCTCTAACCACTCTGCCTGCCAGCCTGCTTGCCCCCAACTGCCCTCCCCTCCTGGCCTGATTGCCCCTAACTGCCTCTGCCTCAGCCCCATCACCAAAAGGACATGTGGAAGGTCTCCTGGTCTGAGCATATTACCCTTTTATTAGTATAGATTATTAGTATAAATTTAAAAGATGAGGCAACTAAGGCACAGAGAAGCTGGGTAGCTTGTGCAAAGTTATATGTGATTTTGTGTGCTAACTCCAGCAGTATGAAGTTTAGGTGCCAAGAGCACCTTCCACCCTGTGTCTGCAGGCTGCAGGGACAGATTTGAGATTTAGAAAGCCTTCTCTGGGGGTAGGGAAGAGGAAAGGGAACTGGAACACTTGATCAGGCTAAGAACCCGAACAGAGACAGTGCACACAAAGAGCAAAGTGTTCCCACAGCTCCTGATACTTGTTGGTAAGAAATTGCTCCCCTTTACCATGTTTCTGCTTTCTCTATCAGCAAAGGGAGAATATTTCAGCCTACCCCCTCAGGAATTGCCTGAAAATTAATGGGGCAGAGGCCTGGGTGGCTTTCCTGTTTAAAGGACACCCTTGTGCTACTGCCAGTGTTCTTTAAGTTCCAAACATATAAACAAACTGGCTTTGACAGAGGAGTTGGAAATAATTATAACCTGTTAATTATTGTTAATCATGCCAAAGCTTTGCAACCCTGAACTTTCCCAATGACTCAAAAGAGAGAGAGAGAGAGAGAGAGAGAGAGAAAGAGAGAGAGAGAGAGAGAGAGAGAGAGAGAGGTTGCAACCCCTCCATCCCTCTAAAGGAGTCACACAGTGGTGGACAAGCCATTTCTCACAGACCCCATTCTTTCATTATGTGCAGTGGTTCAGCTGCTTATATGGGACACAGAAAAAGAAAAGACATGCTTTGCTCTTTTAGAATCAAATTGTACAAAGAACTTCTTGTAGTTTTGCTGGTTCATTTAAAAATTTATTCCTTTTTGTCTCCCTATATCGAGTACATGCATAAATATTGTGTTTGTGTGTGGGGAGGGGAGAAGTGGTTAATAGAAATTCTTATACATTGGACATCAGAACACCTGGTTTGTTTTTTTCTAGGATCCTTAACCTTTCTTCAGATCAGCTCCACTGGGTTTCCATAAACTTCTAAGGTCTCCTAACAGCCTGGAGAGAAACAAGGACCCCCCTCCCAGGATATGACGGCTTTGTCTCCAAGCCTTAACTGCACCACCTATAAAATGGGTCTGACAGATGGTCCATACTTGTGGGGACTAAGGAAAGGATGAGATAATGTTTGGGAACTGTAAAGGATACATGGCTGCTATTGTGAGAAATGGGGAACGAAGCCTGGTAGTGAAAAAAACTTAAGTAGGAGAAGAGCTGGGAAAGGGAGAGAGAACAGGTGGTGGTGGTGGAATAAAGGCGGGACAGTCCTGCTTTTCAATGAAATCCCTGAGAATTCCAGCCCAGGAGAGCTGCCTGTCGCAGAGGTTCTGGGCTAGAAGCCGGGCCAGAGCGGGCCCCGCCCTAGGTGAGGCGGATCCGGTCGGAGGCGGGTCCGGGAAGCCCGCAGGTGAGTATCGGTTTTCCTCTTTGGGGCTTTCGGTCCCGAGGAGGCGGGGGCAGCCTCCGCTCCTCTGATCCTATCGCGGGCGGCACTGGGAGGGCTGTAGCTTCCGTAGGACCCTGACGGGGCGAGGGGGAGGGGAGGTAGAGATGTGTCACCCAAATACCAGAGGGTGAGCTGGCGGAGGAACCGGCCGGGCTGGTCCGGTGGAGTATAAGACCGGGAGGGAGCGGCCCGGGACAGACCGGTGCAGACCTCGGAGCCGGAGTCCCGCAGAGTCCAGCGCTGTCCGTCCATCCGCCCGCGTCCAGTCCGTCCGCGCACCTCGCGCCACCATGACTCGGGGTCCAGGCCTCGCGCTGCCTCTGCTGCTGCTCCTGGCGGCGGCGACCGGCCAGGCCGCCGCCCAGGACAACTGCACGTGCTCCACCAATAAGATGACCGTGTGTAGCCGGGTTTCCCCGGGCGGCCGCTGCCAGTGCCGCGCGATCGGCTCGGGCTTCGAAGTGGACTGCTCCACGCTCACCTCCAAGTGCCTGCTGCTCAAGGCGCGCATGGGGGCCCCCAAGGCCGGCCGCAAGCTGGTGCGCCCCAGCGAGCACGCGCTGGTGGACAACGACGGCCTGTACGACCCGGACTGCGACCCCGAGGGCCGCTTCAAGGCGCGCCAGTGCAACCAGACGGCCGTGTGCTGGTGCGTGAACTCGGTGGGCGTGCGCCGCACCGACAAGGGCGACCAGAGCCTGCGCTGCGACGAGCTGGTGCGCACCCACCACATCCTCATCGACCTGCGCCACCGGCCGGCCGCGCGCGCCTTCAACCACTCGGACCTGGACGCCGAGCTGCGGCGGCTCTTCCGCGAGCGCTACCGGCTGCACCCCCGGTTCCTGGAGGCCGTGCACTACGAGGAGCCCACCATCCAGATCGAGCTGCGGCAGGACGCGGCGCAGAAGGGCCCCGGCGACGTGGACATCGCGGACGCCGCCTACTACTTCGAGAGGGACGTCAAGGGCGAGTCCCTGTTCCAGGGGCGCAGCGGCCTGGACGTGAGCGTGCGTGGCGAGCCCCTGCAGGTGGAGCGGACGCTCATCTACTACCTGGACGAGAAGCCGCCCCAGTTCTCCATGAAGCGCCTCACCGGCGGCCTCATCGCCGTCATCGTGGTGGTCGTGTTGGCCCTGGTCGCAGGCGTGGCCGTCCTGGTCATCACCAACCGGCGGAGGTCTGGCAAGTACCGGAAGGTGGAGCTCAAGGAACTGGGGGAGATGAGAAATGCGCCCAGCTTGTAGGTACGGGCGGGGCTGGGGCGGGATGGGGTACGGGATTCTAAGCTGCAGGGCTCCCAGACCAAAGGGAGTCTTCATCCTTTTTGACTCTGGCCCAAATGAGACATTTCTCTCCCCAAATTCCTGTCTCTCTGCTCACCCCACCAACTCGATAGATCCTGGTATGGGAGTCGCTTTCCTTGGAGACTTCTGTCTTGAAGAAAGCATTTCTACAATCCCTTCCCTCTCCCTCCAACCAGACTCGAAGAGTGAAGAAAGGGCTGGCAGAGGGTGTTGTGTGAGAATCCAGTGTCTGTGCGACAGCCCAGCAACTTGACAAGGGACGTCATCGGTGTGGAAGGCTTACGTGCGTTGAGATGGGAAACAGAGCTTTCACTAGTCTTGGGTTTAAGTTACTTAATTACCGCACGGCCTTCCTGACAAGGATATCGTTGATTGGGCCGGGATTGCATCTGCATTTACCCCCGTTTGCTTGGCCGGCCACACGCACTTGTCCCTGGGAAAGAAGTCTGTTTCCGTGGCCAGAACACACTTCAGTCTGTCTAAGGGCGGACTCGGCCTGAAACTCCGCTTCTAGCCTTCAGCCCGTCTTTGTTACAGATGACATTAGTAATGTTTCTTTTGTAAAATGTTTGTACATATGTTGTCTTTGATAATGCTACTGTGATTTTTTTTTTAAACACGAATTTAATAAAACATGGGAAAGGCACAAAAGATGGAGTTAGTGAAAACTCGCTCTAGATTTATGTCAATTTACTCTCCTTTGTATAATGTCCCACGGCTCGGATTTCTCATTTTAAATCATCACTTTTTTCCCCCCTAGGAGTGGGCACTTTCTATTTCCATTCTGGTGAACAGCAGAGATACACCAGCAGGCTGGTGCCATGACTGAGTTTTCTAAGTGAGGGTATTTGGAAACCTCCCTCACACAGCTGGAGGGTGGGGCTGGGGAGGAGGCTAGAACTAGGTGCAGTCATTGGGAAAGGGGACCACCCTTAGCTTGTTTCTAATCAGGAATTCTTAAGTGGAGAAGGGAGCCTGTTTGTTTCAGGAGCCGAATCTCTTGAACCCTCGCCCTATTTGGAAGCAGGTGGTACTATTCCCATTTAGCCCTTGGCAATTTACTGAATCCCAGAGTATTGTGGCTCTGAGAGAGGTTGAGTGATCTTCCTACAGGCCCTTATGGTGAATCTGTAGAGAGCCCTATGCTGGGACTCTGTGTGTGTGTGAACGCTAAGGTTGTTTTCTAATATTTTACTAGTAATGTGCTTTAAAAATGTTTCCTTCCTATTAGCTGTAAAAACTGACAACTTGTCTCCTTTACACTTATCCCTTGTTTTAAGTCATTCACTTTCTTTTATGTGAACTGAGTGTGCTGGAAGGTCCCTGTGGGGTAGCCCACAGTCAAACAGGTTCCTGCAATTCCTCAGAAATTACTGAAACAATATAACAAAGGTGGGAGTGGTTGGTATATCCGAAAACAAATAGCTAGGGCCAGGACTTCAGTGTCTTTCCCTGGAAACAGTCTAATGTTTCAACCTCCCTTGCCCTCTCCCCCTCCACCCCTGTGTCTATGGTCCATGCCTACCCCTCAAGATCGAAACACTAGTTAAAAACTGGGGGGAGGTGGCTCTCAGCCACTGCCTTCCAAGCTGAGGGCTGTGGCTTGTATGGGCTGGAGGAGTGGATACTTGCTTGCCAGAGATCTCTAGGTCTTAACTCCACAGGTTCTCTCAGACTCAAATGGGACTGAACAAGGGAAGAGGGTGGAGGTGGACTGGCTTCCCCACAGTGAAGGGTGGCTGAATGCCCCGGGTTAGAATGGGAACGGGAACAGTGACCGAGAGGCTCCACTCTCCCTCACTTGGTGCTTTCTGTTTCTCTGAGTCATTGATGTGCCATAGCCAAAGCGACCTTGGCAATCACATCTCACCAGACTCCTCTTTTCACAAAGGAAATGAGTGGGTGCTGAACAAAGGGAAAAACCCTGAAAAAAAAAAAAAAAAAGAAAGAAAGAAAGAAAGCCCATTCCTTCATCAAAATGTTGCTTCTGGATAATTTCTGCATGAATTTGGGACACATCCTTATACTTTATTGCATTTAATAGTTCACAAAGCACTTTCCAGGATATAATCTTGAGACATTGACCTCCTGGAAATAGTGTTGACAAATGCTCCACTGGGTAAGTCACTTAACTCTCCTCAGTTTTCTCCTTTGTTGAATGAAACTAGAATCTCGCTCTTGCAAAGGTAAAATGAGGTCATTGATAAGACTGCTGAAGGTAATCTGGGCACTTAAGAGTTCAGTAGATCTTAAACGTTTTTTCCTATAAATTATGTTCATTTCATATGTGGGAACACCATGGAGGTAGAGTAATTCATGATCACATGCCCTCCATGTGCAAGGCCAGGGCTTAGAAACTGTGTTTGGTGTCCTAGCCCAGATGGCTAGATCACATACCAAACAGATGGAGACATCTTTCTTACCCCCTTCTTCCAAGGAAGAGCCCCTCCTACTTCTGCAGGAACTCAGCTTGCTTCTGTTGGGGGCAGGACTCTCCAGAACTAGCTACCTCCATGGGTGGAGCTCCCACCTCCAGGATTTCCCCTCAAAACTTCCACTGAGGGCTTTGTGCTCAGGGCTGGGCTGCCCTCAGAAGGAATGTGAGGAGCAGGTTCCAGCTTGTCTTTCAGTCCCCGAGGCTCATCTGATTTCCTTGTTTTGGTCATGGGGACTTTCTCCATTCCAGTTATTTCCTTAATTGGGGAAATTTTAAAAATCACGATTAAGGCACCATTTCTTTCTGCTTACATATTTTTGGCTTCACTATTTTCCATATAGAATCACAGAATGTCAAAACTGGGCAGAGAATCATTTTCATCCACACTTGCACCCTACAGATGAAGAAATTGAGGCCCAGAGAGGAGAATGGATTTATCCAAGTCAGGCAGCTAGAAGCAGAGTGACCCTGGAGCTCCCATAGCCTGACTTCCATCTCATTGGTGAGAGAGAAATATCGTTGAGAGAAAAATATCGATCACTGGGGATGTTCCCACAAGCAAGAAACATGCCTCTGACCGAAATCGAACCCGGGTCCCTTCAGTCTGCAGACCAATGCTCTATCCACTGAGTGATACTGGTCAGGGCCCATTCCACTTTCTTAAGAAGACATCTCTTTCTGGAGACTTCTATTAGGGGAATAGAACAATCTTGGAAGCCACCATTTACAAAGGCAGAGCCATAGCTCACCTGGCCAATGCCAAGTGAGACACTCACCTTTAACTGTGATGTGAGAAAGAAAGAAATGTCTTTGTTTTCAAATTACATTAATATTGCATCTCTATAAGAGTCTTATTTTAGCATACACTCTAACCAGTATGGGTGGCTTATATTATCATTCCTGTAGTTTAGGGGTGTCGAACTCAATCAGAGAAGGGGCCAAAATCTAAAATCCAGCCTAAATCGCGGGCCGAATGGTTTACTGAACAGTCATAAACTGTCATTGTGATGGAAACGCAGCGGAGTGCAGTGATGACAGCGCGGTGCGGGCCACATTGCAAGGCCTGGCGGGACGGATTTGGCCCGTGGGCCTTGTGTTTGATACATGTGCTGTAGCGAATGAAAACATACTTGCCTGTGGTCACACATCTAATAAGTATCACATTTGGGATTAGGACCCAAGCAAACTGGCCCTCAACTCCATGTGCTATACTGCCTCTTAGAATTGATAAATTTACAAGCCAGAGTATATTAGTTTTAATAATTTAATATACTAATAGCATGTATTATCTTAAATTTCTCTAGGTCAGAAGTCTCACAATAAGCTTCCCTAGGCTGAAATCCAGGGCATTATTATCTCTACCACAAAATGCCCCCTAATCCATGCTCTTCACCAGCTTACTATCCTGCCTTGGTAGAACTGTATGCCAGCATGCATTATTGTATTTAGTTACAAGAGAGCTCTTTCCCCCATGGCCCTCTCTTCTATCCCTTTTGAACAAAGCCTCCCAAGGAGGAAATAGGCTCTTGGGAGGATTATTCCTATATCGCACACAGGGTGAACAGGCTGTCTGGTAGCTAATAAGCTCTCAGGAAAGTGTGTTGAACTGAACCGATACCAATGGCAACCACTATTAAGCCAGCAGTTTTCAACCAGTGTGTTGCAAGAATTTTTAAAGCATGTAATATCTGAGTGTTTAGGGCTACTAACCTCTTTGCTCTTACATTGTCAAATAAAATAAAATGATAACGGCCAACACAACACTAGCTGATGTAAATGAATCAAAGTTATACCATTTTTTTTATCAGATCTGCAAAAATTATAACTTTATTTGAAGTGCTGAAATATTTTGGTAATTAGTTTATGTGCTCCATGAGATGAAAAAGGTTGAAAATAGCTGAATGAAGTCCTTAAGATGTGCCAAACACTGCCCTACAAACTTTATCCTGATGACCTCAGTCATTTCGCAACAATGCCATGAACATGAAGAAGCATGTTCTGCGATTCCTGTTTTACTGGTGAGGAAACCAGGCTGTAAATAAGTGACTTGCCAGAAATCACACACCTGGTCAGGAGCACAGCTAGAATTCACACCCAGAACTATCCTCAGAGCCTGAGGTTCTATAGCTCAGCTCTGCGATATGGCAGGGCAAATACCTGGGTTCCATGCCAAACAGTGATGCTGTCAGTGGGGAGGCTTATTCTCCGGGACCCAGATGGAATCCCTCAACAGATCACTTGGAAAGTTGATGGATTTCTTTTACAACCAAGAGTGAATCCTGGTAGTCTTCTTCTGCTTGTAATTTTCTTCCTGGAACTCTTCTCTGTCATTGCTCAGTCCCATCAGAATTTCATTACTGCTTTTTATGACAAATCTAGGAAGGAATTGTTGGGAGGGTGGGATGAGTAGAAAAGTGCTCTGAAAATGGGAGAGCTGGGTCTGCTAGCACTTCAGCAAGTCATATATACTCAATCTCAGTGAAATTCTGGCTCCATGCTGTAGAAGGAGGACAAACCAAAAGGGGAGAGACGGGAAACAAAAGGATCCAGAGTGACATTCTAACACAGTGGTTGGCAAACCATGGCTTGCGAGCCACATGCTGCTCTTTGGCCCCTGGAGTGTGGCTCTTCCACAAAATACCAAGGCCTGGGTGAGTCTATTTTGAAGAAGTGGCATTAGAAGAAGTTTAAGTTTAAAAAATTTGGCTCTCAAAAGAAATTTCAATCATTTTACTGTTGATATTTGGCTCTGTTGACTAATGAGTTTGCTGACCACTGGTCTAATACAATACCCAGAGGGTCAACAGCAGACAGCTCCGCTTACCAACACTTCACAGACTGTGTCTTTGGAAGAATGGGCAGGAATCACTTAAGTAGATCATTTAACTCATTAGAAGTGTTATGTCCTTATGCCCCCAACTGGATCTAGCTTAGTCTAATGAATAATCCTACTGCTCTTAGTTCCTTTGGGAGCTGATACTGTTGGAGGAAATGTTTTGGCCACCCAAATATTTTGTTGGGAAGCACATTATCATATGCTATTGAGACACAATGTGATACAGAATGTATCAACTCAACAAGGTCAGCAGATGAAGCCTGTGGTCTGGTCTCTCTCTCTTTTTAGCTGTGTGAAAGGGTAGATCACTTCCCTGACCCTCACATTTACATCATAAAATGGGTCTAACAATGTCTACTCACAAGGGTTTATAGCCCTTCTGTCTCCTGTCTTCTTATGTCACTTCCTCAATTAGAGTGATATA